AGGAGTCTTTTATTCATTATCTTGGAGTCTTTAATAATGCGGAGTTTTTTTTATTCTACTTTTTCTCTTGAAGCTTATTCGACTGAAATAAAATGCATTCGAAAACATGAAGAAAAAACATGATTTCATCACTTTTTAATCACGTATTTTCAAATCTTTTTATACATCTGTTGTGGATTTTTAGGTGCATAAAAAATTTCAATGTACTTCGAAAGGTGAAAAAAAAATGTACAGATTAAAAATATTTTTATTTTTTCCACTTTTATCTTTTTCGACATTTATTTTCAGTTTTTTTCTGACTTACTTTCTTTTTACTTGTTTATTTATTTTTTTCACATATAATTCCTTACATGTTTTGCTAATATATACTCTATAATAAAAAAAAAAACGACGCACTTAGAATGAGTTTTCAGATAAAAATAAAAATTGATGGGTAGAAAGACTATGTACGGTAAGAAAATGATTAGAATTTCTGAAATATTTAACGATTTATTTCAGAGTTACATAGCTACAAAGTAACGAGCTGAATAAGGTGTTGACCCATCTCTAGCCTGAATGCAAGCTGCCACACGACGTGGCATAGAGTGATAAAGCATCCTGTCAGTCTCCTGTGGTATTTCTTGCCAAATTTCCTCCAATCATTGGGCAAGGTCATCAACATTCCCTGGTAAATGCAGTCGCTTTCCCATCATATCCCAGACATACTCTTTTTAAGAAAGATCTGGCAAACTGGCTGGCCAAGGAAGTGTTTGACAAGCTGTAAGACAGTTTATAGCAACAAATAAGGCCAAGGTACTGAAAAAGAAACGGTAGCAAAACAGTTCTCAGTTATTTTTTTAAAATTGCCTGTACATTAAGTACCTATAGCGTGTTAATCTACTTTAAATATTATTTTGAGATACATTCTTCTAAGTATGTGTATGGAATGGGGTTCCATAAAAACAAATTCTAGTTCTAGTGTTTCCATGAAGATACCTTTAAGTTGTATGGGTCCCGGGAGTTGAAAAAGATAGAAGGAGCCACTTTCTTATGGAATGAATATATTTCAACAACTCATTCAAGATGGTGGTGAATGGGAAAGCCTAAATAATTCAAGAATTTTTAACTGATTTTTAAAAAATAAACCCAAACGAGAGAATGAGGCAAACAAATCAATGCGAAAACAAGTGACGTTATATAAATACAGGGATAATAGACATAAAATAAAATAAAAGGGGTAAATCCACTAATAAGTAAAATAACAAGTTGTTATTTATGCCACCTGACTGACAGTAACACCAGATCAAGGTCCGATAAATTCACCGTGGCAAAGGAATACATTTACGCCTGTCGTTAACTGTAGCTTTGAGCACCGAACAGGTGACAGTACGATTTTGCTTGGTTCTACGCCAATTTAGAGTGAAAACCCTGGGGTTGGCCAGGGGTCTCCCACCTATCTTCCCCCACCACCAAACATACGAGAGGACTTGTGGCTCGACGACTATTTAGAGTACACCCATGCCGCAAAGGCACTGTACATTTACAAGCATCCATGTCTTCGGGATTTGAACCCAGTTCCTACGGCACCGTAGTTAGTGTCACTAACCACTATACCGGTTGGGTGACTACCGCCCATCCTGTATAGGGATTCGTGAAGCTGACTGCTGTGCCGTAGGGTCTGGGTTCTAATCCCGTAGTAGGTATGCATGTTTGTAAATGTATAGTGCCTTAGTTCCTTTGCGGCAAGGGGTTACTCTAAATCAGCGAAACTCAACCTACGGCCCACTGCTCTGAGAAATTCTCATTTAAGAACATTGTATTAAAAATTTGGTGGGAAATTCTTCGTCAAGAAATCCAATATATCACTTTTTCTTTTTGCTGTCGGTGTCGTACGGGTACGAATTGATATTCTTTTTCTGTTTGCACCGGTTACGATTAGTGTTAACAGACAACAGTGGAGTAGCCACAATTTTATGGGTGTAACTAATTTTTAACTATCTTTCATATCTTGCAAGCGAAAAATATTCGAAAAGATATCGTTTCAAGACGATTGGGAGATTGACTATTTTGTAGCGAAAACAAACATGTATCAGTATTTGTTTCATTTGTCACGAAAGTGCTGTATTAAAAAAGTATCAATAAACATTGATTTTTCAATGACACTTTTCTTCAAGTATCTCTTTCAGGAGGTGATAAATAGGCTTTCTTGAATAATCTTTGCAGCAGCAACAATGTGTTTTGTCAGTGGTAATGTCCCAGAGGTAACAAAGATATCCTATGAAGTGTGTTGTATTATTGGTAATCATATGAAACCGTATGATGCAGAAATTATGAAGGAGTGTTTCTGAAATGCCTCTAATTTAGTGTTAGCGATAAAAATAAAAAATATAAATAAATAATAACTAAAAAAAGCAAAACAGGAGTTATAATATTTTGATCAATTTATTACATTTTAAATTTCCAATTGTATCTTGGTGTTAATGCGTTTATCTCCCTCCCCTCGCATCCCCCCTTTACTCTCATGTTGCGGCCTGCATGAAATAGCTGACATATGTATGCGGCCAGCAGAAAAATACCCTTACTCTAGATAGTCGTCGAGCTGCAAATCCTCTAGTGAGGTTGGTGGAAAGGCAAGAGAGGTGCGAGCTCCCTGAGCACCCCTCAGGATGTTATCCCTCAAGTTTGGGGTGGAACCGAGCAAACTCGTACTGTCACCTGTGTGGTGCTCAAAGCTACGTCTAACAACATGCGTACAAAGCACGTACTTGCCACGAAGTATTTCATGGGCCTTGATCTGATGTTACTGCCTCTATCAAGTGGCATAAGCAACAGCAAATCAATCGTTTTGTTGAATTATTACATACCTTGAAACAATCTTTCTTCTCTTTGTAATTTACTCGGCAAACAGGACAATTTTCAAAAAGTAATTTACTTTGTAAACATGATAATTTTCAAACAAAAAACAAAAAAACTTTACAGTGGCGCCTAAGGAATCATTAGTTTCATTTTTTTTAAAAAATAAAATTCTCCCAGACATATTAACGCTAATTAAAATTCAGACGTCCTCGATATCTGCCTTTAATCGGACTGAAACATATAACTGTTATTAAAAAGAAAAAGACGAATGTGAAAAATCTGATCTTGTCCGTTCTTCAGATGCAGATAAGGAAAACTACATTTGGCACAATGAAACTAGAGAGGATCCACGTGAATTTGGGATAATTAACTGTTGAAGCGAAGTGTCATAAATCAGTCCGGAATAAACCTCCTATTGAGATGGTAATTAGAAAGACGAAAAATGGGCCTGAAAGCGGAAATTAAAGGCAAGATGAGATCCTCTATCAATGGGTGCATCATCGACACAACAAAATTGACTGATAATGAGTCCAACCATTATCCTGTGCGTTTTCTAAAACTTTTCGAGGAATGTCCTGAAAGACATTTTGAAAGTTTTGCGATACAAAGTTATGCTATTTTGAATTGTAATTAGATTAATTCGAATTCAAGTTATTTCTTTTTCTTTTGCTCGCACAAATCATCTAGAAAGTTTTCTTAGGTTAACAATAAACATAGAAATGCGAATCACATATATTTTGTTACTGATTACTGATGCGGGTTTGATTTAGGAATTTAATGCGATTAATCAAAACTATTACTAAAAGCAATTGTGTGGATATATAATTATTATAGATTATACAATTATTTTATTCAATCCTTCTTGTAATATTATGTAAAAACTTTCTGCTGCAAGAGAAATTTAGAATCCCATAATGCAAACTTAACCTTACTTCTAAGCCCTAAGTCGCGCGCGCTGTTAGAGCTGCAAATTTTATATCATATATTTTCAAAATATTCTCCTTTTATGAAAAATGCTTCCAAAAATAATACTTTGCCAACATATAGCTAGAACTTCTATAACGAAGATGAACTAAAATTTTTGAAAAATACACATATTCAGAGTTACAATCAATTGAATTAATAAATGGAGTTCTCTTGGTTAAAATTTCTCTATTTTGATATAATAAAAATAAATCTGCTTCTAAATTATAAATTTCAAAAGGCCTAGATTAGGCTCTGTAGAGAGTAGACCAAGCTATACATGTAGGCAAAATATTATTATAGAATAATTTTTCATAAAAGGAGAATGTTTTATAAAAATGTCATTTTTGTTTCTTTTTTTAGACAAAAAATTGTATTTAAATAGTTTTTTTATTATAGTAATATTTTTAAGACATTTTAAACACATATTCCAATTAAGATGACATTAAACATAAAAATATATTTATTTATACGCTTTGGTAAAATCACGGTTCCAAACGTAGTCGGATACCTTAAGTTATTTAGCAATCAATAAAAGCGATACATATTTTAAAATTTGACATCTGAAATTAAAATTTTAGATGTTTAGTTTAGTTTAAAATTAAGACATCTCAAACACGCTGGATCCAATTTGATTGAAGTAGATCATAATAAAGATAACCTTTGTATCGAATAATTGAAACGTTAAAATGTATTGATAAGATAAGGTTGCGAGAAAGTATTTAGCGATAGATTGTGTCAAATTTGTTTAAATCTTCGCCAAAGTTGCAAAGCAGGAGGTATTGAATCACTATTCGAACACTAAACAATTATATCATATATTTAAAAAATTAAAATCGAGTTAAAATAAAACTGAAATCACTTTTTGGGATCAGTAGCATTTTTTCATTATTAGCATCTCTTAAGATTCAATCTTTTTTTTATTATTATTTCCTCCTCTGTTTTCACGATCTCTACTATTAGTTCACACTCTCCCTATATTTATTTATTTATAAATATATCTTGTTGAAATTTTCAATCGTTTGTAAAATAATTTTTATTCATCCACTCAAGTTCGAATTCATTTTTTTAAAATTTGTAGTGAAGGACATTTGATGTTAATACAGTTTTTTACAAATGTTAATTCATTAATTAATGAATAAATAGTAACAAACAAAAATAATAGTTCAACACCCTATATAAAAAGGAAAATCGCTCGTTGTGTCTCTGTAGCGCAATGGACAGTTCGTTGCAGTTGGACTTCTAATCCAAAGGTCGTGGGTTCAAATCCCACTTGGGATGGCCTCATTTTGAGGGTGTGGTTTCTTTTTACTATACTATTTTATAGTAATAATTAAATTTAATTAATGAATAAATAGTAACCAACAAAAATAGTAGTCCAACACTCTATATAGAAAGGAAAATTGAAAACTGCAAGGAAAATCTCTCTCTTTTTTGCTTCTTAATATTGTGATTCTGTCATATGTATATACATATTTATAATACTTGTAATTATTTAATAAAAAGTAACTAAAATAAGATTTTTCTTTGTTGACCTGAGTAGGAATTGACTTAATTTTTGTATATTGCTTCTTATTCAAAATGTTTGTATGACATATATGTTCAAACTCTTATTACTTTTTTAAAAATTCTGAATTTTATAAATGATTTGAAAAATAGAATACTAAATTCCTTACAAGTATATTTTTGACTTATTATACTTTGCTAAGCATTTTTTTGTGAGTTATAATCTTAACACACAAAAATTTTTCCGTAAAATATGAACACATACGTATATACACAAAATATTCAAACATATGCATTGTTTAGTGCTTAAAATTTTAAAGAAATAATTTATTTATTTATTACACTTAGAGCTTAACCAGTTTTTAAGTCAAACTTAGAATATTTATCTCGCATGTATTTTCATTAAATTAAATAATTATATTACTGACTAAATTAACTCAGAGATAAATAATGCATCAAATAATTTTAAAAACTTACTTATTATCTCGTAGACCAATAAATTGTCGTTGAATATGATGAATGTACTCCAAAAGATTATTTACCTAAATAACTAAGATTAAATTGCATTACTCAAATTATATTATTCTATTAGTTTAGCGAAAAATATTCAATTTAAAAGAAATTTAAATAGTCAAAAACTACATTATTTTGGCAGAGACCTATTTGGTTTTAAATTAACAAATTATGACCTTCGACACATTCTTTCTTTGATGGTATGATCTGGTAAACTTGGAAAAATTTCACTGTATTCCCCTTCCTAGTAAGTTAAGATCCAAATTTTAATCATTTTCTCAATATGTATAAACAAGGTCATTTCGCTTATAAATTGGTTATTACGATACAAGGAAGGTGTTTTTCATTATTGGCTGTATATTACGGCATTTGGCAACGATTTTTTAGCTGGCGAAAATAGATGATGAGCTAATATATATTCACCGAAATTTTGCTTTAAAAAGTTTGAAAAGTAGAGTTTAAAAAGGTTAAGAGAACCAGATCATACACATTAAAAAAAAAATCGATTTTCAATTTTAGTATTAAAAATATATGTTGCATATTTTTCTGAATCTAAAAATGTTTTACATTTATATGTTCGTTATGAAATAACCTTAAAATATGAAAAAAGTAATTCACAAAAATGTAAACAAACGTTTACAAATGTTTAGTTTTTTCACTTTTTCTATGAAGCATAATTTTTTGCTTTAAGGTACACTTTGAAAAAATAAGCTATTGTACTGTATGGTTCCAAATTTTGTATACTTCTATACAGGATACCCCTGTGCATAGAGTGAACCTATTTATTTTAGTCGAAGTAGAACATAGGGTTTTAGAAATTAGATTTATGTATGAAAAAGGGGGAGGGAATTTAATTCTTCAAAATTACAAAGTTTTATATTTTTTTAAAGAGAGCATTTAAATATTTTACTAAAAAAATAGGTTCACTATATTTATGTATGTGCAAAGTGCATTTTACTTATTTAAGAGATAATTTTGTAAAAAAAATGGTACCTAAACATAAACATGTATTATGAGATCTCAAAAATTATGTCCAACTTAAATTTAACAGAAAAAAAACTGTCTTTAACTAAAAAATTATTTTCGTACTTCTACAAAATGATTAAAATATTTTTATTAAAATCACGAAAATATCTAAGCTCTACTGGAAATTTTTAAAGATATATTCCTCACAAATAAAGAGTTTTAATTTTGTTATTTTACTCTTTGGGACATGTCCCGGTAACCTTAAAGCCATATAATCTAATATAATGATTAAGATTGCACAAGTATAAGTTACCGTAAAATCTGTCGTATAACGCGCATTTTTTACACATAAAACAAGATCGATATTCACGGGTGCACGTTATCCGCCGGTATGCAAATAAGAGTTTTAAAAATAAGAAAAAGTGATGAGTATAAAAAATATTTAACTTCTGCATAGATTTAAACATGTTTATTTAAAAGAAATGATATTCTTTATGAATTTAATGGGTTATAATTCTGGATGTAAACTTTTTTCTAAAGCTTTTGGAATAACACCTTGAATAAATAACTTCAAAACATAAGAGCACTGTATATGTATATTCCGATTCTTTAAAAACAGGGTGTGCGTTATACAACAAATATACCTAAATATAAAAAAAATGCAGCTCAAAAGTACAGGTGCGCTCTATACGCCGGATTTTACGGTAATTATGTTTACTCTTTTGTTGCTAGATAATCCGTTATAAAAATATGAAAGACACTACATATACAGCCGTGAAAAAACATCGAAACCAACAATCTCAACCACATAGCTCAGTGCTTCTCAAGCTTTTAATATATGCGACCCAATATTCGATCATAATTTTGATCGCGCCCCCTTCCATACAATAACAATGTATTGAATTCAATAATAATACACTTTGACGCTAAACCTATATTACGACTTAAACCTCTTAAGTGCCGCCGGCGTGTATAAGCGTCTCACTCAACCAGTGCGTTAATTGCCCCGGACGTATATATATGTTTTTCCAAAGTATGGTCTTTTCTGAGAACTGCTATCCATAAAATTATTCCGAAGTTTTGGAATGCAGTAAAGTGAACCTGACAGTGTTTGTGAAGGATTTACTTATTTCAGAGGATTTGCTTGTTTATTAATTTTCTACCTACCCCCCTCTATACAGTGATATTAGGGAACGAATCGTGGAATTTTTAATCCGTATTTAAGGGATTAAGATAAGTGTTAATTTTTGCATATAATTTTATATATGACAAGCCCATGGGGTCACTGGTAATTAATAAACTTGTTCTTAACTTAGTATTGTTAAATTAATTATAAAATACATTGCGCAGTATTGATACATTTACAAGTTTGTTATATCAATGTAAATGTGTATTTTACTTTTTTATTATGTCAGAATATAGTTTTTTGTTTGTTTATCTTCAGTAAATTTATAGCTTTTTAAAATAATCTTTTGATTTCCATTTTTCAACATGCTCGTCCCCCCCTCGTAGGGTTCTTACGTCCCGAAGTTTGAGAAACACTGACATAGCTTGTTTATACCCAAACAGTTACCTCATTACTCAAAATCCAACTGAATGTTTTTCTTGATATTGACAGATAAACAAACTGTTTCTATAAGCAAGATATTTCTATCAAAAGTTATTCTCTTTTCCCCCCACAACAATTTCCATCTGATGCCCACACACCAGAATGAGTCTTAATGGCTTGGAACCAAACATTCCCAGTAGCTATGCTTTGGCAAGTTGATTTCCCGAAAACTTCTGTATTGCAAAACTGTTTATTTACTGTAACTTAATTCTGACGTTAGTGATAACCGTTCTGGTGTAGCAGAGATAACGCTCTTTGGATCTCTAAGTGTCTGACAGACACGTTTGGAGGTTTTTGCCGTGTCCTTTGAACTTCCGATAAGGTCAGTCATGTATCGTCTCATGCCATGAACTAACTGATAAGAGTTTTTTTACCCTTTGTAATTATGCTTATGCAAATGGAGGAAGATAGTTTTTTGATAAGAAATCTCAATGGTTAATTTTGTCTTCTCTTAAATATTTAAATACAGAATTTATCAGCTATCATTGGGTAGAAATAGTGACAGAGCTTGGAGAAGTGTGATTTTGATTATGGATACAAATTCATTTTTTGCTGATTGATTATTTAGTAACGTGGCAATACAAAGCAATACAAGAACTATTGGTGACAGACCATGAACTAATGATGATTTTAATTTTTAGCTATTTCAATTTTCAATCTTGTTTAAGCGACAAGGTTTGCATATATGGTCGATTTTTGCTCTCCAATTTCTATTCTACTCCAATGTGAGTCTGAATTTCAACAACTTAACATGCAATTCCTCTTCTCCGAGGAAGATTTTCAGTTATACAAGGTCTCCGACCCACGATTCAACGAAAACAATTCTGACAGCGAGATCGAAAACATAACCACTTTGTTATAGGCCAAAATTCATTGTAAAGAAATTTATTCATCACAGCAAGTTGACTTAACTCTTTTTGTTTGTTTTTGGGTATTTAATTGTTAATACTACTGTTCTAAAAATAATTAAATAATTTACTTGTGAAAAAATATCTTTAAATTTATTAAAATTATTATTTAAGAGTTGAGTTAAAAATAAATTCATTTTTGCAATTTTTAATTCCAATAGAAGGAGTTTTTATAGAGTTTTGCTTTGCTCCGTTAGATATGGGCCGCGGTAGACAAGTGGTCAAGGTATCGAACTCATGGCTGGCGTGTCATGAGTTTGAGCCTGGCACCACTGAAGACCCGCTCTGTAAGGGAGAGATGCACGTTAATTCTGTCAAGAGCGCAATCGTCCACCCGTTGGTGTGGTGTGGTAGGAGAGGGGGTGACAGCTAGAATGTCGTCCTCGTCACTTGGCCAAAATTACGAGGTCAGTCGCCAAAAGCCCTCGTTTACCTGAATAGTGTTACGTTAGTATTTACTCACTTCATTACATATGAAATCTCTCTCTCTCTCTCTCTCTCTCTCTCTCTCTCTATCTATATATATATATATATATATGTATATATGTATATATATATATATACACTGGTGTGCAAAAATTAAGGTCGAGATGGTTTTTTCAATATAACTTTGGACAAAAGCTTTCCAAATCAACACATTTAATACCGTAAGATCCCCAATACGTAAGGACATGTGTAATGTAAGCAACACTTACTAAAAGAGAAATCAGAGGGATAAAAAGAAGCTTGATTGAAAAAGTTGCATGGAGCGCAATGCGACTGAAGGCCGAAACATCCCT